CCTATGTTAAGAAATTAAAATTCAAACATTCTTTAACTTTTATTAATGTGCGAAGCATTAAAATACATTCTAACTTTAAAATATAAAATATTTTTAAAAATTGCTTTTAAAATTTAAGACGTTGGAACTCCTTTCGGAATAACCGATTACCTTTTGGGTTTAATGAACTTTATAAGTGATCTTTACTATAAAATTACAGAAAATAAAAAATAACGGTAAAAGTTTGTTGTCGGTATAATAAAAGCAAATAATAATCAATAATTACATTCTAACAAACTAAATTAAAAACTGTAGTTAATCTTATTCTTGATTTTTATTTATTAAAGGTCACACACAATTAAACACGAATCGTTGTTATAAATTACATAATAGATAATAAATTCGATAGCGATGCCTATTATAATGTAATGTGATAAATTAGTAATAATAAAATAATAATATTTTTTGCAAGTACTATTTTATTATTATCATAACTAAAATTAAATTTTAATTCATTAAAAATAAAAAACATTATATACAAGGTGGCAGAATCATCCATCCGTCAATTCGACAAAAGCCTTCGTGCGAAGGTTTTTTAATATAATACCCGTAGTATGTTAACTACTTTTAAAAGTGATCAAATTGTACAAAACAATTAAGAAGCGTTTCTTCCCAAGAACTAAGTCTTTATGGGTTACATTCACCAACAAAGAGGAGTAATAACAAGACATAGGGATCAAATCGCGAACAATACAAAACAAACGACCGTTAAAATATCCACCATATAGAAGTACAAGATACGTTCATTGCCCTGAAAAACATTCGTTTTGATAAAAAATAACACCCATTAATGCGACTCATCAATACAACAGATAAGCCGGCTTAAGATTATTGGACTTTTCCATTAATCCTATATGAATTTGTGATCGCACTGAACGATTCTTCAATTTTTTTAGTTTCCAATCCCAGTCTATTTACGACTATTCAAATTCAAAACACAATTGAGCAAATGTGTGTAAATTAAACATTTTTTTCCTGACTCTGTAAACGGAGCCAATGTTTTATTGCATTTCTTTGTTGAAATCTAATACTTGCAAGTTGTGCTTCAAGGGATATCATTATAGTTTAAGTCCAATGTGTTTTCTATATTCACAGTTAAATTAAATGTGAAGTGATCAATTAATTAAGAGATAAAAATTTAAGATATATTTATAAAGATAAAGATAAGATATTTATATGTGTTACAAATATCTAATATTATTATACATAGATATTAACATTTTTATATTCATTGAATTTGACTGGTACATTGTGTTTCGAAATGTTATAAGAATCGTGGAACCAAAAGTACTTTATGTGAAATTTGAACATTATATGTAGTTGATTAACTAAACACAATTTTTCTTCTAATTTGATTCAGTGGGGTCTATTCACTAACTAATACGATTTGTACAAAATAACGAATCTACTTTAGTAGGATAATAAAAATTTGAATGGTAATTGTAGAAAAAAAGTCTGTTATTTTCCATACCAAACGAAACAATGGAAACAACTAATAATAACGCTTTATGTTTAAAACAAAATTCACAGCTTTTTTTTCTGTACTTGTTTTGAAGCATAATTAATATAAATCTTATCTTAAACATAAAATATTATAACATAAATCTCATTAAAAACGTAATTTGGGATTGATATATTAATAGCGTTATATTTCAAGTTGTTTTTGTCTTAATATTTTATGAATCAAAAAAATCACATTGCAAAAATGTAAATATATGTACATTGCACAATGAAGATTCTTGAATTAATACGGTGAATAAGTTTTGATGATATTCTTTTTATTTTACTGTTATTTCAAACAATATAGTAACAGAGCAAATGTGAACAATAAACAATGAATCTTTTTACATTTTTATCCTTACTAGGAACATAGAAAATAAAGTGATTTACACCTATCCCCTATACATGAAAGAAACCTTTAAAAGAACACAAGTGGCCAAAGTTCTAACTCCGTATGAAATAAGTGCATTCGCTCGGCCTGCATAAAAAGAGGAATCAGCAATCAGTTCCGTTTTTTAACATTCAATTCCTCGTTGGAGCCTAGTTGGATGTTTATCAGATTTTGCTTTTAAAACATTCACAATACTTTTTTTATTTCGTAAAGAAACGAAGTTTTTATTTAAAAAGTAGTTGAAAGACCTACCTACCTACAGAGTTTTTTCTTTCATATTTATTTAAAACAAAAACGAACTTAACTATAGTAAGTTACAAAGTCATGTGGAATGTAAATTCATACAATTTTGACGTATACATTTAAAATGATTGGAAATTAATTAGTTTTGTATTGAGCTCACGTAGAAAAATCTGATTGGTTTTTAACATACGTCAATGTAGGAGAACGAGTAAGATGGAAGTTGATAAAAAGACTTTTTCCTGTCTTACTCCGATGGATATTTTTACAAAATAAAAATTATTATACGAAAAATATATACAGGGTGACTGGTGAATTACTATCAATATTTAAGGAGAATACTCGGTACATGATTCTCGTTCGAATTATGTAAAAAAAATAGGTACTTAATTTTTGACCAAATTTCCGTATAAATAAATAAAGTGTGGACACGTTCCAAGTGTTCCAAGTGTGGACGCGTGCGGCGGCGTGCTGATACAACACCACGCCGCCGCACGTGTGTGTGTGTGTGTATACCTAATCTGTAGGGTGTTCACACGATGCTTAATTAATTACATAACTTTTGGTTAACTTTACTTAGAAGTTTATTAATATTTATGTTATATTAATTTTTATTTTGTCATATTATATGATCGTCAAATATCACGTCCTCAAGTATCGATTGTAATTCACCAGTCACCCTGTATAATAGGAAAAAACCTGCTTTTCTTAAAGTCTTATGTTATTCTTATATTATTCTTACTATGATAAAAACGATTGATAAAAATAATATACATAAACATATTGTTTTTAAAACAACAAATATATCTTATCATCAGAAATTGCGCATGATTAGTATGTTATTTACATTTTAGACGTCAATTTCATATATTTTAATAAGGTAGAATAAACTATAGTTTATAATTAATGTTTTGTTTTGTGAAAATAAAAAGTACTTCGACTTTATGAAATACATAAAAAGGAGTTTAAGATAAGATTTTCACGTCACGAATTTATCAAATTAAACTGTTATTACCTCCTTCCCGAGGAAGATCATATTATGACTAAAGTAAAGAAAATGCCTGTAAATTTTACTCTTCTCTTATATATAAATTGCGTAAATAAAATTTTCCTTCGAAATATGTTCTCACATAAGCGAAAGTAATGACTGTAATCTTCAAAAACTATTACTTTTATAAATATTAAATGTGTTAAACTTTACGGGCATCTTGTTAAATGGACGGGTTCTTACCCGTTTAAGTAAGGTCAAGTATTTAATATAGAAGCATGAAGATATAAACATTTAAAGGCTAATGCTTATCTTTCTTTCATATTTAATAATTCATTATTTATCAAAAGAAATGTTCAATTATAAACCAAAATTATCAATATATTTAAAAAAAATATTTTATTAAAAACTACAGTCCCCTGCGCTAATGTTAGTGGTTACTCGTACGTTAGTGGATTCGGGGGGAGGGTATTAATATGACGCACACGTGATATTTGAGGACGCACAAATCTTAAGATAACCGTGTTAGAATGTGTCAGGATTAATATATTTTGTAAATGATTATATTTTAAATTAGTTTTATTTAAATTAGTATTATTAGTTAAATGCTTCAGGCTAAATTAAGTAAACAAACATTAAAAGAGTATTCATTTCAATAAAACTAATGTTTTCTGATGAAAATATCATTTTTCATCTCGCCTGTCGGTGATCACGGTGCTGCAAAGTAGTCAAAACGTCGCATCGGGAGTGTGGTTAAATTAATAAAAAACAAGTAGTAAGTTCGAAAACTAACATATTTAATAGAAAAAATATTATTTACACTATTCTTTTATTTTCATTTTCCTTTTTTTCATATCATGTATGTGTTCCATATTGTTTATTTTGAATATTTAAGTAAGAAAAACTGCTTACATTTTAACTTCCATTTTTAATTTGTCGAATTATTATCAGATCTTTGTACATATATTTATGTATATCTTATTTGTTAAGAAGAAGTTATTGGGAACAACTTAACGAGCCTTAGCGTGATAACTATAGTTACCAAAATAGCCTTCAAAACAAGTATTATTATTAAAATACAAATTTAAACTGGAAATTTATCTACACAGTTACAAATGTCTCAAAACGTATTTTTTTAAAACATAATTATTTAACTGAAAGTATAATTTACAAAAAAAAATTGTTACAGGAATAAGAAAAAAATTCATTGAAATTTACTATTGCGTATGTATTCAAAGTACTATTTTATGGTCTAAAGAGTTATTGGCCGTATTCAAACTAAATATTTAAAAATATACGGTTGTAAGCTTGATGTAATACTCTCTGTCTCAAACAAATAACATATTAAACTGTTTTGCCCACTTTGTTTAATGTGTTTTTAATTAAACGTGTCAATCATGAATATAAAGACTTTATGGAAACGATAATAGCTGAATAGTATTAACAATACATCCATTGGAACCAAATTAGATTACTAATAGCATTTTCAATTAATAATATTCACGTGTTAACCAAACACGTGAAATAGTAATCACTATTATTATATTACATCTAAAAAATGTCTACGTTTTTCTACGTTTAATAAATACCATTATTATATATTTTATTCTTAGCTAATTTATTCGCAATTTACAACTGACATCCAGTACAGAAAACATCTATCATAAAATCATTATATCTTTGTACTATGAACGGAAAATTTCATATAATTTTCATGACTTGACGTATTTGTTTGGAAGTCACTTTATGTGTGCGGAATTAAGAGTTATGAATAGTACGTATATAAAGTGTGGTGGAATTATTTTATGTATTATTTATTTCTTATTTTTAATTTCAGTAAGAATGGCACCTGACCCGGAAAGACGGCAAGTGAGTTTTCCGAAACTGAAATATCCTTTGTTCAGAGAAGAAGAGCCAAGGAGTCCACAAAAATGGATAAAAGCGAAACAAATTCAAGATGGCGCTGAAGGTTTCTGGAGAATTCATGACAATATTTACGACCTCACCGAATTTATTCCATCTCATCCTGGGGGCTCACAGTGGCTTTCAATGACCAAGGTTTGTTTCAATTGTCAAAAATATATATTTTTATTATTCTAATTTTAATGGTCAGATTAAAGTTTATAGAATACTTTCATGTTTTTATAGAATTTTGTATTTGTTATTAAACAATCGACGTTGAAATTATGATTACAAAAATTACAATACCTAATGTGATCGCTTAAAACAAATGTTTTCTTTTAAAACTCGAATGGCCATATCTCTATATTTCAATCATATATTGATTAATACTGGAAATCTCCTTTTTTTCATCCGGGAGAGATGACTACACCATAAACAATTCACAACACAATGCGAGTAATTTCGAGTTTAGAATTTTTTTGACTCATATACTTTGCAACCAAACAAAAATAACTATTATTTTAGAAAACTAACGTCACGACAAAAACCCTCTTAATATATTTCTACTATAACAAAACAAATAATAAAAAAATTATTCTTCGACTAAACATTTTCACGTACCTTTACTATGTATTACGCAAGTTACAAAACAAACTAAACCATTACTAGCAACATCTAGCCAACCGTTCAGGAATTATTTGGATGGGCCATCTGTTCCTTATGGCAAACTACCCCTGAATTACCCTGTATGAAGTCATAACACGTTTGAAATTTTTTAACTGCGATATGTTGGAGTAGTTTGATAGCGGGATAAAAGATTGCAGAGCTAAAGTGAAAATTATTATTACTGTGTGAATGTTAATAGTAGGTGAAAGATATGTAGTTAAAAAATGTCTACAGTATATGAGCCGGGCCAAAAGAAAAAGGGTCAAAGAGGTGTGGCTTGTGACAAAAAAGTTTAAAAAATTATGTCGATCCTAAATAGTTCAGAACAGTATCAAATAATAATATGCTCATAGTTATCCTCATGATAAGTTAATTGAAATGAAGATATTGCTATTTAAGATGCAGAATATTATAGGTAAAATTTTATTTTTACACATAAAAGGTAAATATGTTAAAATTACTCTAACCTCTTTTCACAAATATTTTTATTCCAACACAATCACTTATAAAAATCTCTAGTGTTGTCTTCTCTTTCTATATTATTTATTATTTCTAGTTTTGATTCGACCACAAATCAGAACCTGTTGATGAAATAAAATTTATTTTTATACATAGACATATATGTAAGGATATCCTTAGAAGTGTAAAGGATATGTTTATCAATCGAAAAGAAAACTGAAAAATACAAATTTTTTTTAAAAAACAATATTTAATAATGTAAGTTGATAAAACAAATATATTCTGGGTAATTATTGTTAATCCTGTTAATGCATAATGGTCCCTTTATACCTTAGTTACGCCCTTTTAATGTAAAAAAAATCTTTTAAAACTTTCCAATTACGTTCTAAAAACATCGATGACGTAGCGAAATCTGAAAAGTTTTTTGATAAACGAAACTTTTAAACGTTATTTTATTTATCGGAACCAGTTTCTAGCATCATCAGTTGTGAGCGATATTTAAAAGGAATTTACATTAGCAACAAGTTTCAAACGCAACTTAATCTCCTTGAAGAGAGGAGGAAATAACCTTTGGTAGAGCAACCTTCAAATAAACTTTTTTGTTGCCGACTTTAAAATTGTTTTAAAACTCATCATATCACTCACTTATACTCCATATTTATCATAATTCTCGCCTGATTATATCTTTTGTTCAAAATATTCTTAAATTATTATTTGTTTTTTGTTATATTGCACACGTTTAAAGATATAGGTATGGATAATAAATTTTCCAGTAACGTGAATATAAAAAATACAAAATAGTCAAACCTAAGAAAGAAAAACGTGTAACGTATTGTCACGTACAAAAAATATTACGTACGTGTAAGTACTTATTTATAGACAGTAGAGGAAAACATTTTACAGATATCTAGAATACTCTGATTTAAGACAGTTTTGGTATATTTTTTCTTAAAGTTACAGCAGATAAATACGAATATGTAACAACAACAAGAGAACAGGTTTATACAATCATCTCTGGCGGTAGTTGTTTTTTAAATAACTGAATTATATGTTGTTCCGCTTGGCGAATGGCAGTCATCGGACTAAAAATTTATCATGTACTCCGAGGTCCTACTATATTTCATTTAAATGTTAAAATCAACCAATCAATAACATCATTATAAAATTTAAAAATAGTATTTACAGTGACAACTTTGAAGTCATAAAAAAAAGATATAATAGTAGGTCTATATCTCATATAACCAAATTCAAGTTTTTGCGTTAAAAATATTACCTCCATTTAAAAAGTAAAGAAATGTTTTTGCATATATGTATATAAAAAAATAAAACACTATTGTTATAAGCCAAATACAATTTTAATGTCTTAAATAACCTATAAAATCTATTAATGACATGTTTTTTGATACAATATTTATAGAATATAATACATGTTATAATTTAAACATATTTGTCAAAATATATATATCTTAAAACTATGTAATAAAATACACAAATCATTAATATACTATCTAACCCCTTATTTGTAATACAAATATTATGTAAAACATCGGTCTACATCATGTCTGCATAATTATGCTCGGAATTAATACCAGTAATAAATTTATTCCTGTTTCCAGGGTACAGATATTACCGAAGCCTTTGAAACACATCACATAAACAGTACAGCCGAAGCTCTGTTACCCAAATATTTTATTAAGAAAGCCGACACCCCACGGAATTCACCCTTTACGTTTGAGGAGGATGGATTTTATAAGACTTTGAAAGCAAAAGTCGTTTTAAAATTAAAAGACATACCCGGCGACCTAAGGAAAAAGAGTGACAATATAACAGATTTTCTCTTTGTATGCTTCGCGGTAGCTGGTCCGCTTTGTTGTTGGCTTTGGACAAAGAATTTAATATATGGAGCGGCTGCCACGTTGATTCTCGGTCTAACACTTTGTGCCTTAACTATTTGTGCCCACAACTATTTTCATAGAGCAGATAGCTGGCGGATGTACCTTTTCAATATAAGTGGCTTCTCATACATGTAAGTGTTTTTGTAAATACAAAATATTAATCTTTCTTAACCAATATGTATATAATTAAAAAAATATTATCTTTAATAATATGTTTAACTTCATAACACGACACAAGAACAAAATAATAGAATGTGTTTAAATTTTTCAAATTAACTGTTTTAATAATGATAATTATATTCCTAATTACTATGATGAAGTACGGAAACATTATATCATTACTTCATTGTTAACCCCCAAGTTACAAAGAAAATGCTAAGCTGCAAAGAACAAAGGAGTTTATAGTACTACATAAAATTAAGAATTATACTATTTTATTTCAAACTTATCTCATATATTAAGAAAATGTATTAATATATTTTTTATTTTAGTGACTGGAGGATTTCACACTCAATGTCTCATCACCTATACACGAATACAGCAAATGATATTGAATTGAGCTTCTTAGAGCCTTTCTTGCAATACTTACCGAGGCCGGATAAGCCGCTGTGGGCCCAAATGGGGGCTTTCTTTTACCCCATTGTATTTTTATTCACGTCACTCGGATGCATGATTAAAGAGTAAGTACAAAGAAATCAATTGTACTCGTTGTCACGACATTTTAATGTTTGTATATTTACAATGATGTTTTGGTTAGGAACTTGACGTTTCTCACAGGCTTTTTGAAATTGGTTCTACTTAAATCTCTTTGAAAATTTCATCCACACTAATCACTATCCAAGTTGAATCATTACGTTGCAAAATTATGTGTAACCGCGTGTTCATGTTAGTTAAGAAGGAGTTAATTATCGATGTACTCACTTTTACCTTCGCTCCAACCAAGTGAATAACGGTTATGGCGTTTTATTTTTTCCTACTTCCTATCTTCCTTATTAAGCTGATATTATAATGATAAGTATGAATATCAATTAGAGAATAACATTAAATCCTGTTGTTTTCATGACATAGGTTTAGTTTCAACAAAGTTCTTTTGTATGTGCTTAAAGATGAATTTGATAAATAATATAAAACACAAACATAGTACCGAATAGTAAAACTTTGATCCTTGTAACATTTATACATTCAAATCAAAATTCTTAGTTCAATAAAACTTTTGTTTTAATTATAGATTAGTTTGCGGAATATTAAAATTGGATGATAAAAACTTGACTTTGGCAAACGCCATACCTTTTGTATTGCCAATATGGATGTGGTACTTCAGTGGACTATTTTTACCTTGGACTATTCTGGTTTGGTTGGCTACTGTGATGATATCAAGTCTATTCTTCATGATTTTTGGTCTCACAGCTGGACATCACGCTCATACAAACTTCTTTGAGGGAGACGTGCCGAGGTAATGTTTTCAATATTATTCATATGGTTTAAGTGCAATTTAATATGTTTTTTATGTTGTATTAATTGTCCGGCAGATAATTAATTTATATGTCTTTAGTATATTTCATAAACCTTAATTACTAACCAATCATTTCCAGAGAGGAGACACTCGATTGGGGAATCCATCAACTCGATTCAATAGTAGAAAGGATCGATTACGCGGGAGACCATTTCAAATCTCTCACTCGTTTCGGGGATCACTCCCTTCACCACCTGTTCCCAACGTTGGATCACGCTGAATTGAAGTACCTGTACCCCACATTATTCGAGCACTGTGAGAAATTTGAAACCCAGCTCAGAACGACAACCTTCTACAACGCATTGATCAGCCAAAGCAAACAATTAATAAGGAAACGACCTAATAACTTCAAGCAAAAAGTGAAGCAAAGTAGCTAAATACAAGTAACATTAATAATTGAGAACTACTAATTCCTTTCTAACTTATGTCTTAAATTCATATATGAATGGAATTTCAATTAATGCAAAAATTATCTTTATCTATCTAATTATAAAAACTAATTTATATTTTAAAAAACTGTATTTGACCTCTAGGTGTATCATTGTATAATGTATTATTAACGTTCGTGACTCTGGTTTATAGTACATAACATTTTTTTGTCTCTTTTAATTACTCTATTATTTCCTTTAGTTTTTCTAACGTACAATTTGTTTTTAATTGCGTTTATGTTACTATTTGTATGTAAAATCTTGCCTTTAATTTGCTTGATCGTTTTTTATTTGTGTTTAAGTATGTCATCATTATACATTCCGATATTAATGTATAATGCAAAATTTTATTCTGAGTTTTGTGAGTGTCAATGAACTTTTAAAAACCTCAGACATTATATAATATTACATAAATCGTCAGATTATAGTTACCGTTGAAAGTTATTCTTATAACATACATAAATTATAACTATTTGTTTTGTTTTCCTTGAAATGGGAACATAAAGGTCATGTATGACAGCAGGGGACATCTTAAAAAGATATATGTTCTAAGAAGCCCTCAGTCTAATTGAAGGTTAATTACTTTAGGGTTAACACTGCTTTTAGTAAGAAATTTGAACTTGACTCTCAGACACGTACTCGTAGAAAAGGTCTCTTAAACGACGTATATTTTTTGTACATTATTTGTTTTATTTTTGATATATAAATTTTTTAACGTATAAAAAACGTAATAATAATAGACTGATATACCAAACAATAAAAAAACCTTTGACAAGAACACGTTTGCTTTCGTTAAATAAATTATTTTAATTAATTATAGATACAGAACAAAGGTACACTATCGTTTAATTAATAGGTAGTCAAACTTTTTAATTATTATTTAAAATGTATGCATTAAGTTATTGGCTGTGGTTGAATATGTACAATATTTTTTTCATTGATTACGAATATAAACTATGTAGTATGTATAACTGCTAATTGCAATATACCCGTATGTTAAAAGAATAAGCAACATTGTTAATAAATTATTACCTCTTTAGATGAAAGTGAATTTTATATTTAATAAAAACTGAAATATATATGTAAAAAAAGCAATATACATTTTAAATACAAAGTAATTTAAGATAAAAGCAATTATTGACGATTTTATAGAATGTACATAGTTCTATGTGGCTATAATAAAAATATACACATATGTATTTCTCAAAACTTTGTATTTCATTACCCTTTTCCACACTTATCATACTTTTAAATCTTAAATATAATTCAAACATTTTTACAGGTTTATTGAAAAATTTGTTTGTATTGGATACAATGTTTTTGTCTGTTTACGATACAATAATTGGCATTGGTGAAACTATAACAACCTTGGCTGTAAGGTCCTTTCACTTTATTCACGCTCCGTGGCCTGCGTATGTAATGTAATGTATCTTGTGATAAAAGAACGATAAAATTAGGATATTATGACTGTTTCTATTTAAATAATATCTTTTGGCTTACAGGTGGTATACGTAAATTAATCAAGAGTAGAACTTAAAAAGTTTCATCAATAGTCTATCTATCTATAACTACATGTATTCTTATACTAAGTATTATATATAGTTGTCTTACTGGGACATAATAATGTGTATATGCATACACATATGAAATATAAATTGTTGAAATGCTTATTTATAATTAAAGAAGGACTAGTTACGCACACATATATACTCACACATCCACCGGTAACCGGCATTGATTTCCCTCGAAACCAATAATAATGTACATTTATCGGGAATGCTCAATAGAAAGTTAGGAATTTCTTTATTATAATTTATCTCGCTATACGCCAGGAAGTTAGCTTGATAGTTATACATATGTATAATATAAGAATATTTTTTTATAACCATCGCTTACATCAAGTAGGTTATGCCACATTGGTGCTAGGTTTAATTTGTGAATTTATCAATTCAGTCCTTTTAACAGTAAACATAATTATTATTTTTTTGAGTATCATGCAATATATTAGGCTTGATAAAAATTGGCACAGCCAAAGAGATAACTTAATATTATTCAGCTGTTGCTTACCTTGGTAATTATGACTATTAATATTATTTATGAGATTATAATCTAATATAACATTCGTGTACCACTAACAACATCCTTTTGCTAGTTACTCACAGGATAAATATGCAATGTACTAGCATTTAATTATAGACTATTTATTCATCAATTAACTTTATAGAGCGTATATATGTAGTTACAGTAAGCTATCAAGTCACGGCTTTATATTTATGTTAACGTAATGAAAACTACTGAATTACATGGCACCACAACTACAAAATTTTTAGAACACTGATCGTAGAAAAAATGTATCTCATTTTTATAAAAAAAACCTTAACTATAAAAAAATTAGGAAGTTACACAGTTACAGTGCAATTAAAATATCACAACAGTTCGACTAGATATTGCTTGACTGTTATTCCACTCGTTGAAAGGTGGAAATAAAGACTTAGGTGGTGTAAGCACGATCTCAGTAAAAGCCTATTCACCCTCTTCTTAAAGACACTCAAATTATGACTTGAAAGAAACACAGATATATAAAACGAAAAACAAATATCTACCGCCAGAAACGATGAAAGTAGGCAAAACTATCACCAAACAGCAATTTCTTTTCTATAACGTTAATGTAGATAATATAGGTATAATATAAATATTGAAAACCCACCTATGTATCAAAAAATGCTTTTAATTGCATATCAAGTTTTTATTCCTATCCTTTTTTTGGATTTTAAATATATTGATTGTTGTACTAGAAAATTAGTCATTAAATCCAAATAAATATGTCAATTTTATAAAATTTTAATGAACACTGATTTAAAAACTGATTAAATAAAAACCTAACTATTTCTCGGTGTATTTGGCTCAGTTGAGTAAAAAATGTGAAATATTTGATTGCAATCTTATTCTTTACTTTTTTATACACCAATCCTACATACATATATACGATATCACTGCTTATTGCACCTAAATAAATAATTAACAGGGGTATAATTATTAGAAAAAAAACACAGCATTTTTGCATCCGTAACATTTATTCATATTATTTTGCTCACTAACCATATAACTAAAAGACACAAGCCAAATCATTCCTCTATAACTCAAAGTTACAAACGATTTTAATCACACTCAACAAGATTTAAGGAAATCCCTTAAACACATGCCCATCACAATCGCGAGTACTATTTATGATTACAAACTGTGTCCATTTAAGCCGGCACGTTTTGTAGGCACAAAAGCATTACGCACATTCGTCGGACCCATCCATAATGAGAGCTGCAGTTTCATCACATAACGCACTAAATCTCTTTAACGTACAACCAAAGGACTGGAGGTAATGCATGTCTCTTCAAATTCATCATTTATACCACCAAACAACAAACTTCAATAAGACATATTCCCATTCGGGATTACACGGAACACGGAATTCTTAAAGTATCTAAGTCTATTTTTATATATTAACTGTGTTGATTTTGTTTTAGCAAATTTTAAGGAAAGCCTTAAAAATGGATGATGTTTTCAACGTGTGTATAGATATATGTATGTATGTATATATATGTGTGTGTATTTATGATATATAGTGTGTATATATGTATGTGTATGATTTTATTTGAATAAGTCTGTATGTTAAACTGTTTCAATATTTGCACCTAATTAAATTGGTTAACCATAATTTGATATATTATGCATATGTAGATTAGTTGTAGTTGATAATAAGCTACTTTATTCTTTTTTTTAATTCAGACAAAACTGCCAAAAACCTTCATAATCAAAAACCAAGATCTAAGAAAGGAATCAACGTGAGATAATAATCTAAACTATTAAATTTCCAAATATCTTTTTGCTTATCTGCATAAGTAAGTTCAATAATTTGATCATGATATGTTATTTGTTTTGATCTTTACCCGACTGAGTCGACGCTAAAAACAATATCTAGATGTATTTTGTTTTGGTCTTTATACCTGGTTTTTATATGATCTTGTTGAACCATTCTTGTTTCATGAATCATATATTATGAGACTCATCTTTGTGTTTGACCATCACTGCATCAAAAACAATAAAAATTAGTGACGGATTTCAAAGTTATTTTACACTCATTTAGTGTCTTAAAAAGTTTAAAAAAAATTGCAAAATGAAATTTGATATTTAAATGACAAAGAAAACATGATGCCACTGCAAAGAAATATTACTTTTTTATTTCAAATCTGTTTTATTTACATTATTATCGAATGTCATTTTAAAATTTTATGCCCTATTTTCGGACTTCCTTAATATTCACTTTCGTAGCTATGGTAAAAGATTTGGTTGGGTTGATTGAGCCAGAATTATTTGTGACCGCAAGTACACAAACAACATTTATTTAACAAGCCTAGATAATTTTTGATAGCAATTTCACAAAAAGGCAACAAAATAAAGCGACAGAGTACATGAATTAATTCTTTAAATAAATTTGAACATTTTACTGGGAATGCTGTAACTATATGCAAACGATAAGTTGAAAATATGAATAACGAATTGTTATGGACGTACAAAGAGGATGAGTAGGTTTAAAACTGACAAACTCTTTCTATGGTTATAAAAGAACCACTCAATAAAATGTGTTTAGTTTAAGTCTTAAATCTATTTTTCTATTAATATAACAATCAACAACAAACCTGATTAATAAAGAGACATTTGCATAATGTTGTACATCTAAATTAAATTTGTGTAAAAAATTACGACACAATTTATTTAAAAAGTACTTTATTTCTAGACAATATAACAGTAATAGTACAGCAAAATACATTTTATACACCGATAGACTTTTTATACACGGTTTCACAAAAATCTTATTCAATTACAGTATCAATTGCTTTGTTTTAAAAACAAAATTGAATAAAATTTTCACTTACGGCATAATGAAATAATAA